AAATTAACTCGAAACCAAGCCAGATCAAATCTAAATCGACAGCTGTCAAAATGGAAACTGATTTTTAAAATTGTTGTTTATATTAATCGAAACCATAGTAACTAATTTTATATTAGTTAAAAAACGACCTTGTTGATGTTTGATATAAATTCTTTCAATTTGTGAATTTGATAAAAAGACGCAAATCTTTCGATGGTCGTACAAAAAATAGTATAAGCATCACGAACGTTAAGGGGGTTTAGTGGTAAACAGTAAACACCCCTTACCGTTCTTAATACTTAATATACTATTACTGATTATTATTTACGGAGTCGTTTTGGACAGAAAGAGCGATACCGTTTGATGAATAAGATTTCTGACCCCAGCGTTCGTAAACTAGCAGGACATGAATGTCATGATTCTGTCAGAAAAAGAGCTTGAATTTTGCCAAGAGAATCAGAGTCGAGAAAAGGTATCGTAAGTGTAGAACAGACGGTAATAATATGACTATGTAAAAGATAAAGTAGACTTTGTACAGATTTGTTGAAGCACATTCTGTGAGATTCAGCGTCTGCATTTTGCTTAGTTGTTTCTTTTTTTAAGTTATCCTTATCAATGAGGATCTTTTACTGCAATGAGGATCTTTTACTGCCGTATTATCTTGATTAACTCTCAGCAGTTTTTACCAGTTAGTTTAGTGTGTATAAAAATTGGTGGATGCGCCGGGAAAGCTGATGATTTTTTTTTTAATATACCTATATATGTTACGGTTAAAGTGAATACTCGGCTAGTTTCCAAACTATCTGGTTGTATGCAAACTAACCAAGTCGCTAGTTATTATAGACGAAAAACTATTTTCTCTTACATTAGCAGGGTTTCTTGGTTAATTTGTAAACTGCCCAGCTAGTTTATAAACTACCGTACAAGTTTGGATAATTTACATACTTTTTTTAAAGTACATAAATTAACCGAAATAATTGGTTAGTTTACAAACCAGCCACTTTGTTCTTGTTAAAATAAGAACTTTTTGTCTAGTACGATAAAATAACCAATGAATTGTATCATATTTTAGGCAGTTAGTATGCAAACAGACAGTTGTTTTAGTGTTCAATGCAGGCAATGATACAATTCATTGGTTATTTTATCGTACTAGAGAAAAAGTTCTTATTTTAACCGGAACAAAGTGGCTGGTTTGTAAACTAACCAATTATTTCGGTTAATTTATGTACTTTAAAAAAAGTATGTAAATCATCCAAACTTGTACGGTAGTTTATAAACTAGCTGGGCAGTTTACAAATTAACCAAGAAACCCTGCTAATGTAAGAGAAAATAGTTTTTCGTCTATAATAACTAGCGACTTGGTTAGTTTGCATAACAACCAGTTAGTTTGGAGACTAGCCGAGTATTCACTTTAACCGTAACATATATAAATATTTATATGAAATACTTTCTAAGCTAAATGTAAATTTTTCCCACTAAGTTTGACAGCAGACGTCGATCTCTATTTTCACTTTGAGTGGCTCTTTTAAATTTTCTTAAACGACTTATTATTTGACAAACTCTTCTTACAGTTCCTGGCATGTTTCAAAACAAGAAGATCAAAAGGTTATCTGGAAAGCCCAGAAAAGGGTTAATCTTTTCAAATGCATTTGTTAATAAAAATTTCGCTGCCCTTCCTCCTCCTGGTAACTATTACGACCGCAATTACTGCAAGTAAAGAACTATCGAACACGTAAATTAAACTATTGAAATTGTCACCATCACTTCAAATGGCATTAAATAGATTGTCAACTTTGATAATAGGAAATATATCGCCTGGGTAAAAATTAACTGTTAAGTACCACTCCATGTGCGGTATTTTCACCATCCTGTTGCCTCCTCTTACAAAATTCGAACTTGCTTTAATTGGATATGGTGAAAACATCGTTTTAGTTCTTAGTAGTTTTCGTTATGAAAAATGAATTATAACTGGGAGAAAGTTGGAACAGTGTGCTTTCTGGACACGAAAGCAATGTTCTAGTGCCATAACTATCGAGTTGATTGTTCATAAATTTCCTTTACTTGATACTTCTCGTCGAAAAACAAAAAGAGTCACTTCACGGTGAAACAACACTCTTGGGAATAATAATGATTACTGTTGAAAATTACAGTGGTAATTTCCATAGTCTTGCACATGGTTAATAATATTTTCGCTTGAAGATTCGGTAATCGGCTCGCTAATCTCAAACCTTTTAAACTTTCCCTCGCAACACTTATTACAACTCACAAAATTCCAACCTAGATACTTTTAGCAATTCAACTATTTAGGTCTTATTAGGACGTGTGTGGTTCAGTTCCCCATTTGCCGGCATAAAATATCGTGGGCGTACTTAAAGCGCGAAGGGATTGCTGAAAAGTTTACTAAATCTTGCCGAAAACTCTATTTGGTATGAGCTGAATCGATTAAATTCGATGTAATTCAGGATTTTATTACTTTGGTGCCAAAATAGTGCAACAAGCATTATATACGTGTGAGAGACATTTACGATCAATTCGAGGCTTGAAATATAGAGGTATTGTTAAATTTCAATAGTTTACGTTAGATGATGTTATACACGAGTGGGTTTCAGTGTGCGTGAAATCTCTCATATTGTTCTTTGATTAATTGGAAATTGTTTCGTGTCATTAGGTTTATCACTTTTTGAGGCATTGTTTCAATATGTTAAGCTGTCACCGAACTGATTCATTACGTTCGGTTCCATTTCCTTGCTGAAATTTCCTTGTGTCGGCAAGAATTCTACAATCGGATAAAAGACGAGAAATGTGGACAGGGTTTCCTTTGGATGCTCGTTTATTTCGATAACTCATCTTTAATTCAACACGTGGACAGAAGACTGGAAAAATTAGCAATGAAATACGATAAGAATTCATTTTACTGTCGAAATTATGAATACATACATACATAATTCTAATAATCTGTTCGTTTATTTTAGTTGATTATGCTTTCCAAGAGATTCAGAAATAGTTGCAATTACTGGAGAAAGATTTACATCATCACGTTGTATGATCGCGTTGGTCTTCTATACAGAAAATCGATAAAGTCGATTTGCATTTTAAAATTAACGTTGACGAGAAAAATATTTGTTCAATCTAATATCTCTGTCTAGTTTGTATTTTAAACTGTATCAGCCACTATCTCTTTGCTATGTGTGCAACGGGAAAACTGTTTAAAGGTTACTTATGGAGATGGCTTTCTTATTTAATGCGTGGAAGCTGGCAGATGACAGATACTAAAAGTACATGCGGGGTGTGTCCTCGCATAGACGATAAACCAATACTTCAACAGGTTTCTTTTCTTAAAATTTTAATCAAACCGGAAATATTCTGTTTCCTACAAAATTTGCACGTTGAACAAAATAGTAATTTACACAACTAGTTCGGGATAGCCTGCTTCCCGCATGAATGCTTGTTTGCGGCACGACCGAAGGGAGTGCCGCATTTGCGTGAATGCGGGAAGCAGGCTCACGAACGTGTTGTGTACAATATTTTTTGCAACGAATAAACCTTTAAACTGAAGAAATTAACTGTGAGTTATTTATAAACAATGGCGCCGTCAACACATCACAATGTTGACACTACGCGAGTATTTTAAGGTTACCATGGCAACGGGAAGTTAAAATGCACGTGTGCGGGAAGTTCGAACTCCCGCACTCTGGTGAATGCACGAAAGCCATCAAAAAAGATCATGAGTGCAAAATAGTAATTTACGCAACTAGTTCGGGATAGCCTGCTTCCCGCATGAACGCTTGTTTGAGGCACGACCGAAGGGAGTGCCGCATTTGCGTGAATGCGGGAAGCAGGCTCACGAACGTGTTGTGTACAATATTTTTTGCGACGAATAAACCTTTAAACTGAAGAGATTAACTGTGAGTTATTTATAAACAACGCCATTGACAGCACCGTCAACACGTCACAATGTTGACACTACCCGAGTATTTTAAGGTTACCATGGCAACGGGAAGTTAAATGCACGTGTGCGGGAAGTTCGACCTCCCGCACTCTGGTGAATGCGCGAAAGCTATCAAAAAAGGTCATGAGTGCAAAAAAGATATTTTGATAGCAATAATAATTTATGTAAACGTCTGTAGCTAATAGTAATACGAAAATATATTATTTCTTGCATTTCAAAAATATAATGTTATAATTAATCCTTTTAGATGGATTTGAATCAACGACTTGCTTTGTCAAACCAAGTCGAATGTATCTATCAACTGCCACTAGGAGAAACCTGGCAGTCATTCCGCAATATCAATGACTCATCTATAATTCAACACGTAGAAACCACTTCATCAACATTCTTAATAAAACACGATGCAGCCCGATAAAGCCTCACGTATACGTAAGCAAACTTGATCATTACTGAAACTCTGTCATCGTATATTATTAGGGGAGAACTCGGTCTGAATTTTATTGCGTATTTAGGAAACTCAAAGGGAAATATTATCCGCTGCCTCTCATTCAGCTTTACCAAATAAGAATAGGCATTTCCATTATTTACCCCTTGTTTCCTTTCAATAATTCACGTTCGTCATTGTTCATCAACGTTTTGCCTAAAGCCCGAGCCGCCTCCCAGTTTATCTACCTTCTCGTCATTGACGAATTGAAAGCTGCTACTCTCTGTTTTGCTTTAATGAAGTTATTGCTTATTATATACGATTCGCGTGCTCTTCGCAGCGGCACGAATAAAATAAATGTCGGGAAGAACCTGGTCTCGTTGAGAGAATTTGATAGCGAATGTTTTGGAACACTTCAATTGTAGAGCCCGACTAAATTATTAAAAGAATGGCTTTGGCACGAGACGCAATAAAATAAACTCCTACAACAATTGGAATGCATTATACAATTAATACCATCAGAAGCTTTTATTCCTGACGAAAACTTATCGAATGAATAAATCTCTGAAAATAAACTTCTAGCTACGAAAATAATGTTTAATTGCACCGTTGTTATAATAGCCATTCTAATTTTGTTTTTAATTGCAGATATCAGAGCTTTCGGGATGCCCGTTAAAGATAAGCGTAGAAAAAAAGTAAGTATTTTGTAAAGATAATTCTCAATGTTAGGAAATACCGGGTGACTACTAACATTAAAGCAAATGTTTGCATTTGCAACTACAAATTATTGGCAGCGCTGCTAGTAATCACTTCCCAGTTGTCAGTTTTACTATGAGCACGCCAACAAACGTTGATTGGTCGAGACAATGGCAGCTACTGACTTGGTGGCATAAATGTCAATCTAAGATCATGGATGCCATCATAAAAATTTAAATATGTTGACAACCTGACAAAAGAAAATAATAAACATTAATAGTCGGTATTAATTTACTAATCGAAATGCTAACGTTACGCCTACGACTAAATATACGCTGGAGAGCATTGAAGTTGTGTTGAAGAGGAACTCTGTTTGTAGAGCAACAGAATAACAAAAATAATAAAGTAATAATAATAAAAAAACAATCTTCTATACTTATGATGAAATCAATGTCAGTGCATTATTAAAATTTCAGAAAAGTTTTTTATGTTGGTTCTAAGATAAAATGTAAAAGTTCGTTCAGAAATGCTATAGTTTTATGATAACCTGTCTATAACATTCGTATTTTATTTTTATAGGTGATTTCAAAATTGTTGACAGTTGTCAAAAGTCAACTTTTTTATGACTGTCACTTCATTTCATAATTCAGTTATATAATAAGAATTCATTTCATAACTCGTTCAAATGATATGAAATAACTTCCCGGAGGTTCTGCGGGGAAATCAAAAAGTCAAAAGCAATACGTATTTATAGTTTATTATTTAAATTAAACACAAAATTAGTGCAAGTACAATTCGTAAAACCAATTTGGCCAAAAATAATTGTCTTGGGCTTCTCTTAGAAATTTTTCAAAATTTTCTTTAGTGAGATTTTTAACTTCTTTGGATAATAATCTGCCGATCGTCTCTTCAACACTGTTATTAAATTCGAATAATTTTGAATGTTGATATCACGCTTGAATTTTAGTTCGGGTTTCAACATAGAATAAATTGTCCAAATGGGTTTTGATGTTTTCAAAATAGGTCAACATTACCTTTTTATTAATTGTGGTTATCTTCTTTTATTGGCACCAATCTGCAAATTTTTTATATGCTCCGTCATACCCGTGTTTTGATTTAATTGGTAGGTATTAACGAATTTAATGCTACGTTAGCACTTTCTTCGACGACCGAAGGCAATTCACTGAATCGCTCATTTTACAAAGCCAATTGCCACTTTTGACTTTTATTCAAAACAATGATTCACTTGTTTTTCAGACGACTGCCTACTGACCCATTTACCATATTTATAAAGATTTCTCATAACAAAATTAAAAACGCATTTAAATGATGAAATTCAAGGAAATTGGATAAAATTTTGTACATAATACGTCCCTTCGGTCGTTTTGGCAAACTGTTAGGACTCGTCAAACAATATCCCACTTTTCATAACTAATGATGTAAAGAACTATTACACCACAGATAAAGGAACACGTTACTGTCTAGATTTCAGTCGAAATTTGTTTAGTATTTATTTTTAATTTATCCACAAATCAGGCGATCCTTTACTTCAACAATAAAATACAAGATTCTTAGCGAAGTGTATGAAAATCTTAAAGTGTACTTGATTCAATTTCGTAAACATTACATCTGAAAAAAATTTAATGTAAGCTATAATATGCGGTAACTACGTTTTAACGTCACACTGAAAAATAATAGTCGGAGCAAAGATGTCAAATGAAAACATAAAAGCATGATTTTAATCCGAGTACCAAAATATTTGAAGAGGAAAATTATTTTTAATTAAACATGTTACCACCCCTAAAATACATTCAAACATAAATGGCAATCAGTGTCCTTTTCATTGAAACGACCGTTCTGTGTACACAAACCCCGTTTATCCTTAAATTATTTGTCTGCATCGTATTTTAACTGTTTCATTTTGACAGGGGTTTAGCCTGATCTAAATCGCGATTAACTGGCGTAAATATGAATGGAATCTTGCGTTTTTCAGAGGTGTAACTCCCCGCGAGCACTAAACGTAATTTTTTAACGACGGTGGATTTAACACATACGTATGGTTTTAGACGGACGACGGCTAACTACATACGTTCCAACCAATCGTGCAACAATTGCAACATCTTCGTTGTTGTTAAAAGTTTTTTTCTATTGTTTTCACAAAATTCCGTAAACGTTTTGATTCTTTTTTAACATTGTGAATGTGTTTTTGTTGTCATTAGTATTACACATGTATTTTTTACCTTCTCATGCGTGTTGCAAAAAAATGTTTCGGTTAATTTCTTCAAAATCTTCATACAGTGTTTTGCATGTATAGATTAGTGAGTTTCAGGAATATTACAGTTCAACGTGCAACTACAAAGTCTTTGTGATGCCTTCAAGCCCTCTTAGTCGAGGACTTATCTAATCTGTGTGGAGAAGTTAATGGATTGACCGGAAACAAAGACTGAGACGTATCTGCTAAATACCAAACCGACGACCACATAAACTCCTTGGGCACACTGTTAAATGTTCGAGACATTAACGAGACGTCCTGATAGTGGAAATTGCATGTTACGTCGCTCGTCGATGCTTTATTAAGTTAAAACGTGAACCACAAGAATTTACGATTACAAAATGATGTATAGACATAAAAACGCGCACTTTTTTCAAACTGTTTTATGGCTGACGGCAGCTGTGTTGCATTAAATCTGGTGTGCATTAAAAATGTGTTAAAATGAAACGAATATGACTAGTCGATAAATTCATATTGTAAAGCGTCTTGGTGTTATCGGGCACGTACCAAGTTTGTGGTGTATAATTTTCACTAAATTAAGTGTGGAAGCGAGGGAGAGATATAAATGTGTAATGGATGCGTTGAAGCTCTCAAATTTTTAATTTAAACTGGGGTTCAGGTTTGTTCGATAGTTTTTAGGAATTTTGTTGTAATATAGTAAACGGTATATATGAGTAGATTTGTCTTATTCCTACATGATTAGAGGTTCGGCAGAAGCAGTCATTAATTAACTATTGCTGTCCATTCATTTGGAATCTAGCTAAAACAAAAAACACATCGCAAACATCAGAGTTCGTGTAATCTGGTAGCAGGTTTTGAAAACAAGGTCGCTATCGTTAAATTTTCTACACTTTTTTTGTGTACCACATTCGAAACAGTTATTACCCTGGGTTCTATCTAATTTTTGTAATAAAGGCAGCGCAAGACAGAAACTAAGACCCTCTTGCAAAACAACAGGTTGCAGTGAGGCGCTTTGAAACTTCAGATTTCCAACATTGCTCCTCGATGTTATATACAGAACTTTTTGTCTTAACCACCGGAACAAAGATAAATGCATAAACTTCCTTAAGAACCACAACTGAGAAACGTGTTTGAAAACAGAACTTTGGAATTTCGTAGACTCTATGAATAACTACACTAAGCAAACATATTCAGATATAATCGACAAAAGCAATTATTTGTGTTGATACCTACAAGTAACTCTTGGAAACAAATACTCGGGACCGGATTTAAGTGAAACCATACAACGCATCCAGTTGCATGGGGACCAGATGTTCGCGATCGGAATTTCGACACTTTTTTTATTTTGTGATCCGGAACTAAGTAACGGACCATAAGACTAACCATTTTCTGATTCCTTGATCTTTTCGTATAACAAGTTTATAACATAATACAATTTATTAGTAATTACATTCCAGGCAGTTACAACGTTGAATTCAAACACCTCCGCATTTCTCTTTATCTAGTGGTGTCATTGAAAAAAGCATGTGCCAATACATCAATCTGAAGTGCAGTTTCACGTTAGAATGAACACTGTAAATATCTCTCAGCGTTTTATCATAATCCGGAAAATAAACCCGCTATGCTAATCCCTAAGAGCTTTTAGTCATTAGACGAAAAGAGGTGTATCTCGTAACAGCAACCGCGAAAATGTTGCCTCTCTGAGTACATGACGTTTAAGGATTTTTTTCTGGTTTATTTATGGAGAATTTTTCGTATTTGTTGTAAGTAGTCTTGTTAAACATATTAGCTATCTTATCGTAAAGACATAATGTTGATAGTTCGGTACTCATCTTCATTAAATCCATTAGTCTATTGTTTTAGCATTAATTATATTTGCAGCCGATAAAAATCTATCTATTTGATAAGCTCTTCAACAGTGACAGATGCGAAAGACGAAAAATATGTTTTTCCTACTCCAGCTGAGCCGCAGATAAGAGTGAGAATTTACTTGTTACATTTTGCCTGCTTCCAAACTCAATTTTGACGTGGGAACAATTAGAAATTTTTGTTTTGTAGGTATGACATCTTAATACATCCTAGCCTATCGCTAAGGAAATTACTGTAGAAGAGCCCTTTTGACGAATGCTTAACTTCACGTTCAAGTACTTAATTGTGAAGGAATTCCAATGTAAATAATTTGTACATTTGAACACATAATATATTCTCGCTCTCTTCGCTCGCCATACAATCGCTGAATATATGTATTTATGTCTTCAGCAGCTATTCATTTTAATTTTTACTTTACTTAGTTTTGCCATTTCAAATAGTCTTTTGTTCGATTCTCAGTCTTTTTAAAATTAGCGACTCTGATCTCATGACTATATTTCAGTCAGCAATCCACTGCGTCAAATTATAACTGTCAGTTCAAAACAATCTAAGTTAAACCGAGAAGTGTTAGTTTGGAGTCGACTCCAGCAAACAAGTTGTATGTACAGTGGTTTCCAACTTACAAAGGCACTTAACCTTAACCAGAATTTCAAAGAGAGTGCCGTGAAGAAGTAATTCAATAGAAGGCATTGGAATCGAGAAGAACACTTCAGCATGTCAATTCCAACAGTCTGCAGTGCATTGTGCAGCATCTCTTGGCCCGAAACGACCATAATAACAAACTTTCGCAATTATCGGAAAAGTCCACGTTGAAAAAGTTTTTGGCCCGAGGGATGAATTTATTTGAACCAGCGGATGTTAAATAAAAACATGGCTTTATCTCTTGTTGGCACACCT